AAGTTTTGTGATTTTAATCTTTTGAGTCGAGACTCTCGGACATCATCAATGTTTGAAGAGTTTTCTGAGTTTTGACTGATGCTTGATCATTTTTTTTAGATATGATGTTTTTCATATCCCAGCGTCTTTCTTGACTGAATGTGAAATGACATTTTGACCCTTTGTTTTATTGTTTTGCATGACATGCTCTCCATCCGGGCTGAAGTAAAATTCACTCCCTTTTTCATTAGACTGAAAGGCTTGGCAGGTAGCAATTTGGAATTGTGTGGCTTTCAGCACAAAACGTTTTTGTCTTTGCAATTCTACAGTGTCAATACGGATTTTACATTTTATTATTCGATTCCTTTCCCATAATGCAAGAGTGAGAAATAATCACTTTTAAGACACTGGACTGTGGCAGGTACAGGCTGACTGTGGAAAATTTGCAGTCCATAAAAGTTGGGAAGGCAGTGAGTATAAATGGAGAAAGAGGCATACAGTGAAACAATAGGCCATAAAACACGTTTTATAGTGTGCATGTAATATAACAAGAGCGCCTCTGTGGTATCTCGTATCTTTTCTGTTCAACAGCCATGTCCATTCTACTTTCGCAGCTTAAGGAGGCGGTAATTATTTTGGTCATGGAATCGAGCTCGCTGCTCATGACCCGTTGGTCATCACTCCAATCCGAGTTGAAAAGAGCCCAGAACTGTCTTGCTGAGCCCCGTTGAGGCCTGTATTTCTGGGGGTAATTGGGTGGATGCTGTGCACCGTGCGCAGGGTCACAGCACCCTTGGGTCCTTTCATTATCATTGAATAAATGTACTGGGAATAATCAGCTTAGCCAATGGCGGGATGGAAAATTGTAACAGCAAGTTTGAAATAGTCCTCAGTGAGAGTGTAAGGCTGTAAAAAGCTAAATGTATGGAAATTAGTGGCGCTGCTGAAAACTGACGGAGGCAACCGTTTAACCTGTCTGCATTGTTGTTTTGTATGAGGTTTGCTGGTTCGTACAGGACTGAGAGAAACACATTATGACTAAAATGCATTAAACTTGTAACATGTAAAAAGAAAATGTCATGGCTAGAAGCAATGTTGTCTTTAGCTGTGAGCAGGCTAAATGTAAATAGACAGCTAAATGCCAGTTTGCTATAAAAACACAACTAACTATTAAATCGTGCATTATTAGGAAAGTAAATATAGGCTTAATGCGATTTAAAAGGGAGAGGAAAACATGTTTTCCTGTTATTTTGGCGTAAATTCATCAGACACATGGCAGATTCCAACATGGACATGAACGGAAACCATTAACAACAGAAATTATGAAACATATTCACCAGCCAAGCAAATGCCTTTTAGTTGAATGGGAATGCTAACCGTTAATGCTAACCAATGCTTTAGGTATTTACATTTGGAATAGACATCTATGAAAAGGCGCATTTCATGTGGTCAGAAATATTAGGCTATTTAATACCACTGAATCAAGCTGAATGCATAGGTGGCACCAACAAATGTAAGGAAGCTCCCAGGTTTACAGAGTCACAAAGTTAGCGCCATGCTACCGTTCAAGCTACTGTACAGGTTTATTTGAACTCCTCTTCTGTTTCTCTTTCTTTGCAGCTGCATTTGTAGGCTATATAGGCTGTATTCCCTTGGCTGAGTAGAACACATGCAGGCTGTGTTGCATTTGTCCTAATATATCTCTCAAACCCAGAGGGGGTCAATTAGATTTTACCTTTGTTTTTCTACCTGCGACAAATTAGTCAACTCCCTTTTATCCCTGGTAGGGGCGACTGCCGTGCACCAACCCAGTGTCACCTAATCTGCTTAAATTTCCTATTTGACAGCTCCTGTGTTTCTGCTCCACCTCCCTGTGAATACCGATATCACGCAGATGCTGACTGTTTGAAATTCAAAAGGTTGAATGCCGGGTTCAGGATAATGAAGGATGCTTTCATGTTTCATCAAGCTAATGATCCTAATTTTACTTTGATTTGTAACGTTTAAAGGAGCTGTACGTAAGATTGTGGCCAAAACTAGTACTGCAATCACTGTCAAATTACTGTAGAGTGGTGTATCCCCTCCCCCTCCTCCCTGACTCGAGGTTGCCAGATCGGCTGCAGGATCCAGCAGGAACGTGACGAGCTGCAGCTGTGGTAACTAGAGCAGAGCTGGCAACCCGGATGCCGCAACACTACTGACTTCGTGATTGGTAGATAGGTGGAGGGTGGAGCATCAGACCAAAACACAACATGACAACATCAACATCAGTTGAGGGCTGCAACTGCACTTTTTAAATGACAATATCCTGGCCAGACTACTGTTGTCAGTGATATAAGTATTTGAAATGTACATGATTTCTTAATGTCTAGTGACATTTCAGGGCCATTTTATGATTAATTGAAATAAATTTCTTACATACAGCTCCTTTAAACTCCTAAATAGCTTTCATGAGGCGTAACCATCTTAAAAACTTTTAATGCATCCATCTAGGCTATTTTTGAAATAAAATATTTTTTAAGTGATTTTTCTATTAAATCTCAACTGAGCTAGGTCTCCTCATCTTCCCTTTTGTTATTAGTAATTTGCATCAGATTGGCCCTTCACATCTTTTTACTTCTTACTTTCGCTTCGCCTACTAACATGCTAATCAGATCTCTTATCCAGCTCATTAACTAGCAGGTCATTGTGTTGTATCATGTGGGTTTCTCATAAAAAAAGCCATTTTCAAAAACATCCTTTGCAATTTAAATAAAATGTACAGACATACTATTTAAATTATTATAAAATAAAACATATTTGATAAATATAGCTAAACAATAATTATTATATAGTAGAATTATGTTTTATTACATATTTTATTGTAAAACAATAATTTTGTTAAAATATCATTTCTATTAAAATACAACAAAATATAAATATAATTAGGTATTATAAATATATTTATAACATTTCATTTAAAAAAATATCATCTTGCATTATTTAATGAATGTACCAACTAAATGTCCTTTTTTTTTATCAAAAAAAAAACGTTTTCGACCAAGAGAGAAGTTGGGAATTTTATTCATTAATTACAATGTCTGTTGGGCAAAAACAATTGTTTCCTCACAATTGTGGGTATGTTCAACAAAAAGGCCCTGTTTACTGTAAACCTGGTACTAAGTTTTGGTCGATCGGATCACAAGTGGACGTCACTAAATGCAGGTGTAAGCTTGGTCTAAAAAGTTTTGAGCTTGTCCACTTTCTGCCACTTCTAGAGGTAGTTGAAAGTTGAAAACACATTGCTTTCGTAGTGTAAACGCTCGTGTGGTCAAATGCATTCGAACAGCCACAAAAGACCGCCTACTCTCCGCTACTGACCTGGTGCGTAAACATCATGGGAAGCGTGCTATTTCTCCATCGTCTCTGGGCGAGTTCGTATGTAAATTGCACATGCTTATTTTGTTCTTTAGATCGAAAGATCTGAAAAAACACAAACATTTACCCACCTATAGACCCTCCCCTCAAAGACATCAGGACAGAAGTGGGTGAAAGTGGACAAAAGAGACGGATTAAAACACCAGGTGTAAACGGGAATGTGTCTCTCTTGCAGTGGTGGAGGAAGTACTGAATCTCAGTACTTAAGTAAAAGTACAAATAACCAGAGACATATTTACTTTAGTAAAAGTAGAAGTACCACAATGACAACCCTACTTAAGTAAAAAGTAAAAAGTACCTGATTTTAAATGTACTTTAAGTATTAAAAGTAAAAGTACTTGCATAACAATTTATTCTCTTAATGTCTATATTCTAATGATTAATAAAACAGTTCATTCTAACTCATTCAACCTAATACTAATATAATGATGTTCAATATGATGGAAAAGCAGTTATATTTTAAGTTTTTGTCACCATTTCTGAACAAGCTTGCAATTAGGCAATATACACATCAAGCTTACTATATACCCTTACTATATACGGTATATATATATATATATATATATATATATATATATATATATATATATATATATATATATATATATATAAACACACATATTATGTTAAAACGCCGTATATGACGGCGTTTGGCTGTAAACACGATTCATTTATGGCGTAATTGTGAACCTCTTGGCTTGCCATACTAATCCTAACCAAACGTATAATACACACGCACCCCACATCACTATTAAACCTACCAATGCGTTTCTTATGCATGTAAAAACTAATTTTCGCGTATAAATTGCACGATAAACACACTGCGTGCTATAGAGACGCATTTAGTGTGACCGGGTTGATATATCTATGGCAATCAAACTTTACTGGTGAGACAGAAACGTGCGATGAACGGACGGTCAGGATGACGTTTTGGCAGGGGAAAAACTGATCAGAAAATTTAACGAAAATTTAACAGAACGTTGTAGAAATGTAGTGGAGTAGAAAGTATAATAATTGCTGCAAAATGTAACGAAGTAAAAGTAAAAAGTATGCACTATTGATTCTACTTAAGTAAAGTACAGATACGTGAAAAATGTACTTAAGTAAAGTAACGAAGTATTTGTACTTCGTTACATTCCACCACTGCTCTCTTGTCTACTTGTGATCCGATCGACCAAAACGCATCTTAATGCCAGACGTAAACAGGGCCAAAAGGCCAAAGTGTGTTAAATGAATGTAAATAATGGTGGAAATGTTATCTTTTTAGTTTTGTTTTGATCTCTATGTAGTAAATGTCTATACAGAAATTGACTCTGAGAAAATGATAATAAACACTCCTCTATATATAATTGCCAAAGTGTCTTGATTAACATCTGGATGTTGAACTGAATGTTCCAAAATTCTCATATTGAACACTCAAAAATCTTCCAATTACATTTGGTGATAAAAATGAGATGGCATAAATTGCATTGCCTCTAGGGAATCATGAACTTTGAAGCACTAAAGTCTCATCAGCTTCATTGCTGTAACATTTTGGGCCATTTTGATCTGATTTGAAGGTCTTATTTAGAAAGACATTATATTTTGTGATGTCTTCTGCTCAGGCTGGAGTCTCCCACACGTTCGCTTTACATGGAGGCACCTAAAGGAGTGAAAATAGAAGCCGACGCAGGGGATTTCCAAGCGACCTGTAGGAGCGATTTACGCCTGGAGTCAAAAGATGGAGAGGTAACTGTCCTTCATTCTGTACTGGGACTCCTGATGCTGTAGTTAATCTACTCTGTGTTGTGACACCTCCATCTGCTATTAATTGTCATCAAAACAAGCTCTGTACATCCATATGTCCCCTTCTCATCTTCAGAGGGAAGCAGACGCTTAGTTAAACATTCATGCTGTAATACAATATGTATGTCAGTTATCTGACTCAAATATCTGTGGTTTTATTGTACAGACTGGTAATGTGTTGATAAATGAGCTGTTGTGGTCTTTTAAGAGATACAGTTGGAATCTGTTTACGGGAATTGTAATAATTGTAATTGTTAAATGAATCAAACTAATATGCATAATGTTCTATGAAAACTAAGATAAAAGTCCAATTCCAAAGACCTACACACACAGCAAGAATGGTTTTTCCCAATTAGGGAATGATTTCAAAAGTGGAGAGAGTCATTAAGGCATGGAAAAGTCATAATTTGGGGAGAGGACAAATAACTGTAATCTACGGAGGTCCATTTTCAGCTTCAGACTAAATTAATAAAGCGGTTATGACTTTATTTGTCATAATTGCTACTTTATATCTCACAGCTGCAAAATTATTTCTCATAATTGGGACTTTAAATTTCACAGTTTGACATTATTTAAAAATTTATTTCATAATTACCTGTTTTATTTTTGTACTTTTGGAGCTGAAATGTTCTTCCACATGCCTGATACGTATGGAAGCACAATTCAAAAAATTCATTCTTGCAAATTGACAGACAATTTCAGACATAGATATTTAAAAAAAAATTTGAATGAGTAAAAATAATACTTAATTTTGTTATTTTTTGTTTCATTTTCATCATAATTCCGTAACAGTGAACATGTCTGCATGCGCCATCATAATGCACTTTAAATATCTTTATGTTTAGTTGCATAAAAATATAAATTTTTCTTGATTGCTCTCTGATATCACTATCTTTCATCATCTTTCATCATCTTTCATCATTTTAAAAACCTTTAGTGTTTGAGGAGGTTGTGCCTTGACTAAAATAACCATGCACAGATAAAATATAATTATTATTCACAATACATCCCTTTTTTCGTCATTTTATTTGCATGTATCATTCGATTTCAATTTGTATACTTCTATTTTAATTGTATCAAGTTATACATTTAATTGGCCCAGCTAATATCTGCTAACATGCCAAAGCCGTGGAGGAAAAATGTCAGAGCTTTACCAGAAACATTTTTTGAATAAATGAGCAAAGTGTCACAATTATCCATGCAAAAAAAAGAAAAAAAAAAGAATAGGAACTAATGCAGAAATGTCTAAAAGAGTGATGGGGGACATGTCCCCCATTTATAATAATTGCTACGCCCCTGGGTTTTGCCATTTGACTTGCAGATTGATAGATAAACGAGTCCCAGGGAGGTCAAGGGACCGAGCTTGAATCAGCTCTCATAGTTTCAGGTTATGCTTTCTTGACTTTCTCCCGTCTGTCGCATATTCCACTCCAGTACCCCTCAGGACTTTCATTTGTCGCTCTTTTTTTACCAGACACCTCCGCCGGCCCGACTGCCCCCTTGACAGTTCCACCACAATTAGACTGGAGGTTTGCACATTAGCCACCCCAGAGGGGGAGGGGGAGGGGGAGGGGTTTGCTCGGTAGCAGATGTCTGGGCAAGTCAGCTGAGACCCCTGCTTAAAAAGTGTTTCAGGTCATTTGACGGGAATGCTTCCTTGAGGCTGTCAGTAATGACTCCTCTTACCTTTTTATACCTTGACTAGCTCCTCTCCCAGCCTTGGTAATACATGCTTTCTCAAGGGTCCCATGAAAAATAGAAAGTGAGAAATGAGAAAGGAGCAGCTCGGGTAAAGGGCTAAAAGTGTGTCTAAGCGAGACTTACTGGAGTGCTTATGTCACTGAAACTGCTACGATTGGTTGGATGTAGGAGGTTAGAGGACTTGACTTGGATGAACAGGCTGCGAGATGGAATATTTTGTTCAATAAAATGACGGTGCTGGTCTTTTTGGGCCTACAGTTTGAGAGTTCTAAAGAGAAAAATAAACATGGAACTAATCTTTACCATTATAGAAGGCACTTTCTATGAATATGGTACATCTAACATTAAAGGACAAGTTCGGTATTTTACACTTAAAGCCCTGTTTCAAGATCGTTTCTGATTAAATAGAACGGTTAAGATTAAAATTTGGACACATGCTGCTGGCCCGAGAAATTTCGGTTTATGTGGTTGGACCCCCCACCTCCACAATGGTTGCATAGGTGCACAGTAACAATCCTTCCTAAAACGCATTAAACTTTAGTTTACAAAGACGTGGAGATAGACTCAACTATCCTCTGCCTATGGAGGATCCCTTTCCCACTCTACAGATAAAGCGTTGTTGAAAATCCGGTTCGCGTACCCCGAAGTGATAAAATAAAACAAAATTCTTTATCAAATTTATAGGCAAGACAAGTAGTTTGTTTAGGCATGGTTTGTAGGGAAATTACAAACCTGTGCACATATATTCAAATGAATACAACTATAGAATCAATTTTTAATGCGCATGTGAATGCCATCAGGTCACAGGTTCGCGTTTAAAGTCTGTTTAGAGAGAACGCCGTCGTCTTAGTGGCCCCTAAGTTAATAACAAATGATCATTTTGCTGGAAGTGAATCAATCAAAACTAACTTTAGCTGGAAATAACATTATTCAAAATCGCTATAAAGCCAAAATAATCTCTGTTACCGTAAATTGTATGTTTATCTCTGTTTATCTCTATATAAATTAGTATGTTTATCTCTATATAAATGAAGATGACTTGACTTGACTAGAAATACAGTAAAAAAATAATTTTGTGAAATATTATTACAATTTAAATTGATCAAATGTGACAGTAAAGACATTTAAAATGTTACAAAAGATTTCCATTAAAAAAAATGCTTTTCTTTTGAACTTTCTATTCATCCTAATTTTCCACAAAAAAATATTACGCAGCACAAACAGTTTTCAACATTCATAATATTAAGAATCATTATTAACAATTGAGTACCAATTATTGTTCATAATAATTGAGCAGCAAATCAGCATATCACAATGATTTCTGAAAGATCATGTGACACTGGAGTAATGAAGCTGAAAATTAAGCTTTGCGTCACGGTAATAAATGACATCTTAAGATATATTCAAATAGAAATCTGTTTTAAATTGTAAAAATATTTCACAATATTACTGTTTAACTGTATTTTGATCAAATAAATGTAGCCTTGGTGAGGACTTTGTTCAAAAACATTTTTAAAAAATCCAAACTTTTAACATTATGATAATGATATTAATTGTAGTAAAATATTTTTAAGTATTGTCATTTTATTAACAAAAGCTATCATTTTAATTAACAGTTGTTTTCTCTTTAATTGGGAAATACAAGTGTATATCTGACTATAAAACACCATAAGGTCCCAAAGTAACTTATTATTTCATTTTTATGTTGATTTAAAGGGATAGTTCACTTTGAAATTAATTTTTGGTATGTTTTAGCTTACCTCAAGGGGATCCAAGATGTAGGTGTCTTTGTTTCCGCAGTAGTTTCAATTTTGATATTTTTAGGTCAAACCGTTCTTGTCTGTCAGTCATATAATGCAGGTCTATGGTCACCTCCTCAAAGAGCATGCACAGAGAAGTCCAAATTAAACATGATTTAATGACTCGTAAATGTAAGTACACATTGATGGCCTAAGACACGAAACGAGCGGTTTGTGTGAGAAAACGAACAGTATTTATATCGTTCTTGTAAACACAGCCACGTCCAAGTGATCTGAGGGCGCGGGCGCTTCGGTCTGCGCAAGCGCCAGAAGTGATCTCTCGCGCGTGTACGTCACTCGTTGTTTACACAGAGATTTCGGAAGTGTTACCTTTCACTGTGAAGATCCCAAACATATTTAGATATACAGGAAATCGCAATGGAAGAATATTTCGATATATCAACAGACAACGTTGAATTTTTTTCACAACCATATTTAGATCACTTCCGGCGCTTTCCGGCGCTTGCGCAGACCGAAGCGCCCGCGCCCTCAGATCACTTGGACGTGGCTGTGTTTACAAGAGGTAAAAACGATATAAATACTGTTCGTTTTCTCACACAAACCGCTCGTTTCGTGTCTTAGGCCATCAATGTGTACTTACATTTACGAGTCATTAAATCATGTTTAATTTGGACTTCTCTGTGCATGCTCTTTGAGGTGGTGACCATAGACCTGCATTATATGACTGACAGACAAGAACTGTTTGACCTAAAAATATCAAAATTGAAACTACTGCGGAAACAAAGACACCTACATCTTGGATGCCCTTGAGGTAAGCTAAAACATACCAAAAATTAATTTCAAAGTGAACTATCCCTTTAAATGTTTATTGCTATAAAATAGCAAATTCATACTTTTAGACATGGCCCAAGTTTTACTAAGAGGCTTTAAAAAGTAATATTAAAACAAAGAATGTTCAATAAAGGCCCCTGAGGTTGACAATAAAGGACCTACATTGTACCTTGTTCATGGAAAGTGACATAAACCAATTGAAGGTATGTTTGTTTCAAATATCTATAATGTGAAACAATGAAATAAACTTCAGATCCTCTCCTTTCTCTCTCTTTAGATCACCTTGGATGCCAGGAAAATCAAGCTCCTACGTCTGCCGGAGGGAAAAGCCCCCTCCCCCTCTGGAACTAGACAGACTGTCTTTGAGGTGTGTGTCTGTCCCAACGGAAAACTCTTCTTATCACAAGCAGGAACTGGCTCCACTTGCCAGATCAGCAGCAACTTATGCCTCTAGATACACACAAACTCACTTCCACACACACACACTACATTACACTCATACATACAGAGGAATCGTTCCTCTTGAAGAAACCAACGTTGACAAGAACCGAAAAGGATTTCCTCAAGATTCGTGAAAATACTTTGTAAAACAATGTTTGAACCAGAAACTTTCAAGGTGATCACCAGAAAACCATTCGACACATCGTTAAAGTCGCGCATACCTTGCTTTTTCTCATTAGCGTCCTCTTTTTCAATCAGAATCAATATGTTTTGCTGAGGAAAGTACCGTGGGTGCTTTATCTTGCATACGCCACATAAATGCGACCGTTTTCTTTTGGTTTGAGGTCAAAACTATTTGTAACATCTCATTTTGTATTATTACTCAAGTCGTACATGTGGGATGCCTCTCATGATGGTGATCACCTGAACCAAAACTGTGCTTGCACTGGGATGGAACCCATGCACCCACTCTGTTCAAAAAGGAGAACAGCGCCTGTGCCTTAATACAATGCACTCGTGGCAAGAAGCACACCCCCACTGACTTTTATTTAGACAAGGAGACATGCATTTGAGTTACTTGACTTTTGCTCCCACAGATCAACTTTTTTAATTGCATTAAAAATGTTGAGAAACCCAGTGACCCCAAACTCACACGTTGTGCGCTGATTTCCACTTTAATTTGGAAAGGTGGAGAGAACATTTCTGATTTTTGTTTAAAACTCTTTTGTTTTCGGCTTGGCACGGAATGAAGAAAAGTTGAGTTTGGGAGAAACACGTTCTTGATGTGTGGATGTTTTTACTGTTTTTGTGTGTGTTAAGCCTGACTTTTGTTCTTTCTCTATAATTGAACACTAAAATGTGCTAAACAAACCAAGACACCCAAACCAAAAAGCAAAGCTGTCATGTAAAGCAAAGCTGTTGAAAATGAATTAAAAGTTCACACTTCCCAATTCCCAAGACTGAAAGAGGAATTTGCTAATTCTGATTTTGTTTTTGTACTGTACATACACTACCGTTCAGAAGTTTGGGTTGTTTGGTCCCACTTTATATTAAGGGTCTTTAACTGCTATATGTACTAATATTTAAATTAACCATTTGATACAGTGCACTTATTCTCTACATACATGTTTTGACATTGTATTTATATATATTTTTTTAAATGCCTTCATGTAGTTACATCTATAATTACACATTTGACCTTTTCCTTACACCCTTAAACCTACCCATACCACCAAACTCATCCCTAACCTTACCTGTAACCCACCTCAATAGCAGCAAAAGTGTGTTGCAATACAACATCAACACAATAAGTACACTGTAAGCACATTGAAAGTGCACATACTGTAAAATAAAGTGATAATTGTTAGGTACAGTGTACTTCCCAACGAAAATACTGAGTAATATAAGGTAACAACATGGGTTAAGGTTAGGTTTAGGGGTAGGTTCAGGGTTAGTACCTAGTTATTACCCAGTTAGTGTCATTACTACAATAAGTGCATAGTATGTATATGCGAAACAGGACGGTAAAATAAAGGGTATTACTTTATTTTAAGGTGACGTAGTTACACATTACTACATAACAGTCAATTATGCATAATTACAGGTAACTAACCCTAAACCAAACCCTAACCATTACTCAATAGTAAGTGCATGTAGTTTACTAATATTACATATTTGAGTAAGTACAATGTAACTACATCACCTTAAAATAAAGGGTTACACTTTATTTTAAGGTGTCTTAGTTACACTGTAATTATACATTCAAGTACTGATATACTTACCATAGGGATGTGATTAGGGTTTGGTTTGGTTTTGGGTTAGTTGCATGTAATTATGCTTAATTTATAGTTATTACTGTAGTAACTACATGTAACATACACAACAATGACACTGTAAAATAAAGTGTAAGCAAATAAAGTGCTACCGTAATTCTTTTTTGATGGAAGTATATGGTAGTTAAAGACAGACTAATATATAGTGTGACCTAATGTAATATAACTGTTTACAATTATTCATAATATCATACAATGCATTAGAAGATGCATTGCAAAGCATAGTGAATGCATTAAAAAAAAAACTTTTATAATGCATTATATATACAAGGTTTCAAATAAAGTGTTACCAAAAAAAAAATCTTACTGACCCTTACTGAATTTTTGAACGGTAGCATGTATACAATATAGCATACGCCATATGCCAGAATTCAAATGCAAAAGACACATTCGCTGCGTCCGAAATCGAATACTTCCCTTCTATATAGTATGCGAAAAACAGTACGGCAAACGAGTTGTATGTCCGAATTCATAGTATTCAGAATCGGAATGCAAAAGGTCCCCAGAAGACCTACTACTTCCGGAGAGATTCTGAAGTGTGCATTCGCTGGACACTTTACTATCCCATGAGGCCACTGGAGAGGATTTATGAATGGAAGTGAAGCGACGCAACTGACGCTGGAAGTTCACGTGACGGTGACAACATGACGGATGTACAGCATTACATACAGTACTACCAGCCCGTTCTCATCCCAAGGCGTCATACATGTGACGCTTTTGACATTTCGTCGAAATCTTACGCACATGGCATCCTTTAGCGTCAATATGAGACGCAGATCCCAAGGCGTCATAACCGTAACCCTACCCCAGACCTAAACCTACCCATAACAGTGCGTGTTATATTGACGCTAAAGGATGCCATGTGCGTAAGATTTCGACGAAATGTCGTATGGCGTCACCTATATGACGCCAAAGGATGAGAATGTGTTGGTACTACCCATATTCATACTATATAATACATACTTTTTTAACGGTTGCAAAGTAAGTTCAAATTCAAATGTAGTACCTACTCCGACAGTACATGATTTCGGACGCATTGATTGTTCTTAATGTAGATCTCAACTGACCCTATATGAAACACTGAATCTGTCTCTTGTATAATTACATTTCACACTCCAATGGGTTATATTCCACTGGAATATGAAGAAGAATATGTGTGATATAATTTAAGTGGTTCTCACTGTAATTCATTGCCACTTGCCCACTATATCTGAAGCAATGAGGAGTGACAGCTGTGATCATTGCGTTTAAATTAACATCCAATTAACATGCTAAATTCTATGGGTAGTGAAAGGAGACCGGAACACAGGGAACTCTGTAGGGTACAACACAGCATCACAGAAGGGCTTAATCATATTCATTCTCTTTTGATTTTTCAGGAGAATTTGAAATTTGATAGTGTGTGTGTGTGTGTGTGTGTGTGTGTGTGTGTGTGTGTGTGTGTGTGTGTGTGTGTGTGTGTGTGTGTGCTTGATTGCAATTGTAATAAACTCTTGCTTGACATTAAAAAGACGGACGCCAGTGACATAATTGGTTAGAGCAAGAACATTACGTGTACTATATGTTACGTATGTGTGATCTTTCCCCTATATTGAACGACTCAACTAAAAGCAGGACTTTAGGAAGGATACTTCTGTTGTTTGATGTGCTCATTATATTGTTTGATGCATTTTTGTGCTGAATAAAGGTTTTAATCTACAGCCATTTGAGTGTTCAGGAAAAGATATAGCATTTAGTTTCCTCTCTTCTCCCAGACGCTACTTCAGAACAACGTGTATGTACGATTTTGTACGAGGAGCACAAAATGTTTCCTATATTTTTTGATAATAAAACAACACATCAGCTCTAGCGTAACCTAGCTTTCAATGTGTGACAGCTATACTGGATGAGTCTCCCATGTATTCATTTGTGTAAATAAAATTGAGAATTTGATCAAATAAATAGCTAATATTACAAGACTAAATGCTTTCAGTTGAAGCTGGGGCTCACTTATTTTGGTTTTCTTCAAAATGGTGTGCAGAATTGTATCCTGTATTTGGTCTGTCAGACTTTTGTTGGCCACTTTGCAGAAATTCAGTGACATTAAAATTTTGTTTGACATTTTGTGATGACTGGAAACTCATTGAACTTGTCTGTAGGTTTTTTTTTTGTTTGTTTTTTGAGGTAACAATGATGAAAATCCTCGCATATTCTATGCAAAGCATACACGGTTGTTGAGAGAAATTTATTGGTGCAAAGAAATGTCAGCTGTCTATATTAAATTTATTAAACTTAATGTATACGGTTTGTATTTATGAATTGATTTGCAACCTAAACTGAACCAATAAACTTGAAAAAAGAAAAATGGATAAGGGCCAATTTCTCTTAGTTAAACACTTGTTAACTACATGACCTTAAAATAAACTGTTACTGGAATCTTTACTTGCATAAACTGGAAATATCTACAATTTACAGTATTAGCGATATAATATGTGAGATAATGTACAGTCATAATTGCAAAATAAATGATTGTCTAAATCACCTTGGTTGAGTTTATTTTGCGATAATGATCTCTGAATGGACATTATACACCCTTACATATTATTTTACGTGATACTGTCTTAGTGAATGAAGTAAAATAATTATCAGAATATTGTAAAATCATTATCTAATGTCGATAGTCCACATTCTATAACAATAGGTAACTTTGCAACTGCATGTCAACTAACTCTCTTTAGAGTATTAGTAGACTGTAAGGTTAGACTGTTAAAGTGTTACCAGTTTTTGAATTTTTACGAAGCATTTTTCATGACTCCAAGGTAATATTGGAAAATTAGCTGTGTTAGGGTGACAACTGTTAACATATTCAATGTTGAAGGCCAGCATCAATGGCAACCCAACAGAGGAAATGATTTCATGAGTGGCACTAATGGCTAGAATAGATTATGGAATAGATAGGATACCTGCTCATTATACACAGCAGCATGTCAATGACGACTCAAAGACTTGAAAAGGTAGTACAGTTCCAAAACTATTCCTAGCTCACCGAGATCCGACTGAATTACACCCATACAGATGCAGACCATGTTATACCTCAATGACTACAGGTGCCACCCACTTTTAAGAAAGTAATAATTAAGGGGACGTTTTTATCCAAAGCAAATTACAGTACATCTATTTTAGAGACGGTTTCCCTGCTGCTTTGCCTTTGCTTGTTTCTTTGCAGGGCTTAAATCGGCAACTTTCCACTTCCAAGCGTCAGACGCTACGCTATACCGCCCACATTCCATACTGTGCTGAATGTAAACTTTCAGTTTGGCTTTGAAAGTCAAAACTTTGGGGGGGGAGGGGGTTTGGAGGGGGGGGGGGGGGGGGGTAGCAATTAAAGCATCTGTAACCATGGTTGCATCAGTGAACCCCACCCGAACCTCGGCATATTCAACCGATAATTATTGTAGCCGCAATGCATTATTCATGAATATTTATCACGCATGATAGGAGGTTCTA